GAGTTAGTTTCTTATACTCATGATATGCTGTTGTGTCTTATGGACCATACATACACCAATTCCTCTAGCAATGATTCAAGTGATCCATACCTTTCTCTTTCTCTCGACCATCTTCATATACAAAGTCTTGCAATTTTGCTGGTGGCTTGCTCTGCCGTCTACTTTTCCTTGCTGGTACCATTTTCTCTGAAAAAATAAAAAGAAATTAACATATGCATGATAACTATAATTTTTTTTTTAATCAGTATTTAATAAGATAATGATGAAAACAGGAAGTACAGATATACAATAACCACAGTTAGAAAATACAAAGCATTAATCTTATACACGAAATGCCACAACAAAGAAAGAAACTTGACAAAAGTAGAGAGAGAAAAATTAAGTTTATTTATAAACAATTTACCACTTACTGGGGCTTTTCTCCAGTTTTCATGCTCTGTTCCTCATTTCTTGCAAATGTAATGCAAACATTAGAATCCTCATTAAATATACTCATAGCTTTGTGTAATTGGAGTAAGAAATGGTAGTGTAAATGCATGTACAGAGGTTGGCAGATTGGTCCTATAATATATTACATGAGGAAAACATGGAGAATGTGAATTTTGAAGATAGAAAAGTAAATGTGACAGGAGTGTGGATGGAGACCTACTAGAGGTGCTATGATAAGTGTGCTGCTGTTGCAGGAAACTCAGCCACAATACCAGCAAGTTCAAAAGTATCTGTTAGCTTGGAAACAATTTATCAACACACCATTAAGATCAATATTAGTCCTGAATCAAAAAATGGAGACATAAGCTTGTTCCAAATTTAGAAATAAAACTGAAAAGTCAAAGCAGATACAGCTATATATTTCCTTTATTTATCTATATAGAACTACCAGACTGCAACACTGTGGCAGTGTGACAGGAGTCACTGTGGCCTTCATGCTTTGCATTTAGGCAAAAACCAAAAAACTTCCATGAAATATATTCTTGTAGGATAATACTTTTATCTTGGCAAAATATATGTGATTAAGATTTACTTATACTTATACCGAGAACTGTACCCTTTTCGGTCAACATGTAGTACAAGGTAGTGGCAGAGTTGGGTAGTAAAACCTTCATGATATGATAGAACAATACAAACCAAGACAAAGTTCTTCTATGGTAATATGTGTGCAAATGCTTTTCAAGGCTGCTATACGTAAAAGAAAAGAAAATTCCCCGGTCAATATATAGAAGAAGGTAGTGGCTTACTTTCAAAACAACTTTGATATTACTCGGCATGAAATCCACTGCTTTCAATGATTCTAGGCATTGTTCCTTGTGTAAATGAATCATTCATGAGATATGATCACTATCTCCATCGACAATCTTGATTTGAGAGTCCCGATAGCAGGGGAGGGCATGAAGTATGTCAGGGAAATTATAGGGTAAAACAGGACCCCCTGGTTGTTAAACAAAACGTCCTAACTCAACACCCAACCTAACCTAACACCGTGATATATATTCCCTAGCCAGGGGGCTCTGCCCCCATGACCCCCATGGTAATATACATGCCTAGCCAGGGGGCTACGCCCCCTGGACCCCTTGGTAGTATATGCATCTAGAATTCACCTTCACAATGTAAACAAGATGAGCCCCCCCATTTTGAACCCCCCCCAAAATGGGGGGAATCTTCTCTTTTCTTTTACGTATAGAAGCCTTGGGAAGCATTTGCACACATATTGCCATAGAAGAACTTTGTCTTGGTTTGTATTGCTCTAACATTTCATGTAGGTTTTATTACCCAACTCTGCCACTACCTTATATTACATATTGTCCCCTTTTCAATAAGTATGCTCTACTATCCTTCAAATGCACAGAAATAATTTTATAAAAGAGTGTCATTTCGTTTCTGTTTACAGTTTATTTTCCTGAAAATTTGCATGATGACTTTCTAGACAATAACATATTTTCCAAAATATATCAGATACGGAAAGTGCATTAGCTAAAGCTGGATAAACCACAGTAATAAACCGACTAAACTTTCCCTAATTAATTCATTTCGACCAGTTAAGTATCGTCAAAAGGATTTTAAAGAAACCCACAGATATAATCAATCCGGCGACGTATATTACCCAAAGAATTAAAACAAAACCCTGATGAAAACGCCCATAAAAATATATATATATATATATACCTGTAGTAACTTAACTCAGAGCTCGGAGTAAACAACTCTTGGCCTCCGTTCGTCTAGTGTGAATCCGGGTGAAGGCGTGAATCCGGGAAAAGGTTTATAGCAGACGTTTTATTAGATTAAACATTATTTTCGATAAACATGATTAAACATGATTTCCCATTTCGATTTTTATTAGATTAAACATGATTTTCGATTTCAATTTTTATTAGATTAAACATGATTTTCGATTTCGATTTTTATTAGATTAAACATGATTTTCGTTTCATCATTCTCATTTCCATCTTTTAATTTCTTGCTCTATAATGCATGAATTCACTCAGCCATTCCTCGCTTGTGATGT